GGCTTTCCAGCCTGCCAGTCCCTTAAGGCTCCCTCTGCCCTGTTAGTATCATGTGCTGACATTGATCTGTGTCTGCATTAGGAGACTTGAGCATACAGAGCTAATGCGGTCTCTTTCTCTGAATGCTGTGGTTGGTTTTTTGCCCCCCACAACTTGCTGTTCCATGGGATTCACTGAGGCAACACCTCTCAGGCAGGGCCTTTACTCTCCTGCCTCTGGTCCTAGGGTGAATACCACTAGGGATGGGGGTGGATGCCAAGAGGGTGTGGTACGTGCTGAAGTCCTATGTTGCTGTGTTCCTCTGTTGATGAGGGACTCAGACGACGTGAAAACCCTTCCACCTCTGTGATCTGTCTTGATTTTCATGGTGAACAATGCTAGCATTTTCACTTTCATGTTAGAGATACTTTGTAAAGTCAGAAGACAAGGTCTCCTGAAGACTCAGAGAGAAAGCACAACACAGAGTTACACCTCTGACATTTAGGGATGCAGAAAGTGAAATAACCAGTGTGCTTGTCTGGCACCAAGTTTATGGCCAGAATCCTTATATTTTAAACTTTGAACAAATAATTGTTGCTTCTCATGATGACAGTCGTTATCCCTATAGAATAAGGAGAGAGGAGGGTATTAGTTCTTCAGTGTATTGGACTGAATAGTGGCCTTGTTCCCAAAAAGGGCTTTTGAGCCCTCACCTTCCTGATACACCTAAAACTCGGGGCAGTTTGTTTGGTCATATGTTTCTTCTTACTGCTAAATATGAAGCATGTTCATGGGATTTAGAATCGACATGGGTGTGTGGCCATTTCTACTGGGGCTCATGTTCTAGCAGGGATGTCTCCTACATAGACCAGTCATTTAATGCACACGTCTGTAAAATCTTAAAGAATACGTCTGACTCAGAGGAGGAAGATAAACTGTTCAGAAAAGCTTCCTAGAGCTTGCTGTGCACCCGGTAGGCTTGGAGGCTAGTGGAGGAGCCCACTACACAATGGGAAATAGTGGTGGGGTTTGGTGAAGGGCTGGACTGCCAAGTTTGGCTAGAATAGGAATCCCTGTTGATGACATTACAGGTTCATCTGGGACACCACAAGAAAAGATTCTGATAGTCTAAGCAGGAATGATGTGAACATAGAACAGGATGGATGTCTGAGAAGTCATCCGAAAATAAATAGTACTTACAAGATGAGATGATGTGGGGGTGTGTTGACTGAGGTTTCTGTCCCACCCAGTTCCCACAGTCATTTATTCCCAACGAAACACACAGAGGTCTACATTAGTTATAAACTGATTGGCCTAGTAGCTCAGGCTTCTTATTAAGTTTTATAGCTTATATTAGCCCATAATTCTTGTCTGTGTTAGTCACGTGGCTTGATACCTTTTTCAGCAAGGCAGTCACATTTTGCTTAATCTGTGTCTAGCTTCCTCTGTGTCTGGGTGATGACTGCAGACTGAAACTTCCCTCTTCCCAGAATTCTCATCACCCCGCCTCTACTTCCTACCTGGTTTCTCCATCTATACTTCATGCCTAGCTACTGGCCAATCAACGTTTATTTAAAATACAAGTGTGACAGGATACAGACCATTGTCCCACAGCACTCTCCCCCACTTTTTTAAACAAGAACTCTGAATTGAATCTCCTTTGTTTAGCTTTTCTATTGACCATTATCTATAACAACTTGTAACCAACATTCTAAACAAAGGCAAACATCCATAATCCATTTTTTTTGGGGGGGGGATGTAGGCATGGTTTTCTAGGATACTTCCTGCTGATTGGGGGCACTGATAATCTTATGGGGACTTAAAGAAAATTTAGAATTATGATCAAGTCCTGATTGGAGTATCCTAAGGCTTTATCATCACAGGCAGCAGTCTTTGAACTGTTCTGGATGTAGAACTCAGATATCTGGGCCATTCCTCCTATCGGAGATTTCTCAGGGGATCTTCCTTGGTCAAACCTGATTTTTCTTAACACAGTATGAATCCACAGTTCCTCATTTCCTGTGGAAACAAAAGCAAAACCTCTTATCCAAAGTAATATCTTTTGACTTAAATTTTAAAGTCAAAACTAGAGCTAATGTGCCAAGCAGCGATTTAATTAATACAGTTTCTGGGTGATTATTTCGCAGCTAAGCAGCCATGAACCAACAAGCGGCTCTCTCCTCCAACAGGGGTGTTTCCCAGGGTTTAGGTTGCCACCTCTAGATGGAGGGGTGAAAGTGAGAGTTCCCTGCCTGTGCATGCACAACCAAGTGCACGGGATGTGAAGCTATTTCTCATCGCCCTTGGCTTCACTTCTAATGACCGCCTCTGGCTTGTGGAAGAAGTAATGGTTCCCATGTTTCCTGTCCTGAAGAGAACTAGAGAGTTTTCCTTCTGAGAGTAGCAACAACCTCCTAATTAAGGCTGAGGAGAAAGGGAGGCTTTGCCTCCTGCTGTGCTCAGAAGCCTATTTGTTCACCTCAGTTTACTCATGGGAGAAAAAAGTGGAGCTCTGAGAGCAGAGAATTTTAGAAGCCACAGTACTCCTGATTAGTGTAGATAGCTAAGCTCCTGCTACAGAGAACCAGGGCTTGCTAGCTGCTCAGGGAGAACCTCAGAACAGAATCTTCCAGAAACCTAGGAAACTTCTCTCTTACATTGCCAGTGTAAGAATTGAGGATTTATTTATTTGAAAAAAGAAAAATCTAATTAATCTACAATCAAGCATAAACTGGTCTATGAGAAAACTCCAGCCTGAACCTTGTGTTTCATTGGGAGCTTCTCTGGACTGAGAAGGGATAGCCAGAGCTTGGTTCTGACCAAGTTTTCACGGAGGCAGGCCTCTTTTATTATGATTGTAGGAGTCACATGGCAGTGGTTTTTAGCAGTGCTTGTGGACTCTAGACATCACAGCTCTCTGTGGTTAGAGTTGTCACAGATATTTGAAAATGCCAGACGTACTTCGCAGCCTTCAGTTTGCCGCTGTCACCGTGTCCATAGTCTGTGATACAAATCATTGCCTGCAAAACATGCACACATTATTACTGTATCCCAAATTAGGGGTCACTTTTTAAGGTTTTCATAAATGTGCTGCAGAGTAGTCAGTTTTTTTTTTAATCCTATATATTACATTTTATGTATTTCAAAAGCATTCTAAGCACATTGTGTCAGATTTTCAGTTGGCCGGAAAAAGATTCGTGGCATACAAACTGTTAATATCCCCCAGCTAAGATCTTGTACTTGTGGCATATGGCCTCCACCTGGTGGCAGCATACTCCTTAAAGGTTAGATCTATAATCAACAACTGCAAAGAAATTCTAAGCATAATAATATACTTGAATATGGCTTTCGAACTCTTTTTTTTACTGCAGCCCACAAAAAGAAATTGACCTGTTATCATAAATCACACACAGACTTGCATTTCACAAAGCTTCTCAATCTTACCATGTGGTACATGACATTTTTTCTGGCTTTCTAATGTTCTCTTGGATCTCTTTTATTAAGATAAAATTCTGGATGCATCAAACTAAGCTACATTCAGATGACCATAGTACGCTGGCCTCAGAGAAGGCCATATAATGTACACACAGATTCTGACATCTTACTTACATTTAAAAAATATTTATTGGTGGTGATTAATTTACACATAGTGAGAATAGCAGAACTACTTTTAGGTGTACAACCCAGATTCCCTTCAGGACCCCGTGGTTTCCTGTCACTGAATTTGACTTCTTTGTGTGCCTCTCAGACACCACCCTGGCGCTTTACTAAACAAGGCTCTTGCTGTCATGGAGCCGGAGAGTAGGCATCCATTAGTCGGGCCTCATTAGCTCGTTGTTTTTGAGATGAGTCCCATTTTGGCCATGTCACCATTTTGGTACATGCCGTTCCACTGTGCGAGTAGGCTACAGTTAGTTTATTTTCCTGTTGCTGGGCCTTGAGTATATCTTCAGTCCGGGTTAGTGTGAACAGAGCTCTGTTGCCTAGGTGAACCTGTAGGGTGGCCTCGTTGGCCTAGTCAGTAATCACATGTCTAGTTGTAGGGAACAGGCAAACCATTTGACAGAGTGGTTCAACCCAGTTCCATTCCCATCAGTGTGTCAGAGTGAACTGCTCCATCTTCTCTCCGTTTGGTATGGTGTTGGTCTTTGTAATTTAAGACCTTCTGCATTTCACGGCTGTAGCTACTGATTGGGAACTGAGTTTGACTGTGAACAGTGATGGTGAGCACTCTTTCATGTGCAGCCATCTATTTTTCATATTTGTGGTATCTATTCCAGCTTAGAATGTAAAAACGTCTACCAGTCCATGGAAGTTGTTTTCCTATTTTGGATACCAGTCCTTCATGTCAGACGTGTGTTTGTGAGGGCATTTTATCCCGTTTGCAGCACACACAGCATTCCACCGGTGGTATTGCTGATGAGCAAATATTTCTTCTTTAGATCGTGTCCAGCTTAGTCAACAATTTTTCCTTCAATGTTTCGTGTTTTCTAGCTCACACATAAGAAATCCTTTCCTGCCTTTACGATGAGAATAATAGTTTTTGGTTTTCATACTTAAGTCTGTAATCTGTCTCAAGTTAAATTTTGTATCTGGCAGATGCCAGGAGAGTTTCATTTTCTTTCTGTGTTTGTATCTGACTGATGCTCTCATACCATTTGTTAAAACTGCTTTCACCAAAGTTTAAAGCAGAAATCAAAGATCTCCTTAGAGATTTATAAACGTGACTTTCCTACAGGTCTACAGACTGAAGCTCTGGGTCTCTTGGACATCCCCAACCTGTGGTCCTGGTTATACATTCTTTCCTTTCCAAAGTGTTCATTTACTATTATCTTGGGAATCTCAACAATGACTCCTAAGGTGTGAAGATTTTAAGGTTCCAGTCTATCTGTGTCTGGCTACATCTACTCATGAGATCCGTGTGCCTGTTGTGGAGTTTGTGAGATTCTCTGCAGTTTTCTGCTGGGCATGAGCTGCAGACACATTCTGCCGTTAATAAATATTCTCCCCTTCTCTTTCAGTGTGGAAATTTTGCTGTCCTCGTGGATCTTCATATAGTGCCGCAAGGTCCAAACAAAGATTCCAGTTGGTTTTCAGAGCAGAAGAAAGAGGTACAACAAAGAAATTTTGTTCTTTAAACACTACTTATTGTATCTGCTGGAAGAAATGGCAGCTGCTCTCAGCTTTCATTTTCATTAGTGTTTTTTTAAAAAGTTGAGTGGTAATTAGGATAGTTAGGAGTATGCCCAGTGACAAGCATATATGTGTTCCCACCTCTGCCCTTGAGAAACTGACACAACCATGTTTCATATGCTAATCTATTGTTGGGCTGTGTGTGTGTGTGTGTGTGTGTGTATACATGCGTGTGGTGTTAGAGATCGAATCAAGGACTTTTACGTGCTTGGTAGGCACCTCTCCATCTCTATGTCCTCATCCCAGGCTCTGTTGTTTAAACCAAAACTCTAATCCCCTTTATTTTGGGGAAAATGGTCCTCACTAATAAAAAGGGAGGAAAAAGAAGCCAAACTATTCCAAGCAAGCAGGGATTTTGATCTGAGTGGCGAGAAAGCCGGCAGCACCTGGAGCAGTTGTGGAATTCACACAAGGCTAATCTCCATATCTGTATTAGTCCTTACCTTCATCCTCGCCTCTTCTCATTCTCATGAGCCTGTGACAAGGGAAGAGGAGCTTCAGTCTTCCCCCGCTGCTGCTGGCCTGCCAGTGAAGCAGATAGTTGGTACGGATGGATTGAGTCTGAACAACACGGGCTTGGAGCATGTAGGTTTGCTCTGCTAATACATGAAATTTTAGGAGAATTTGAAAAAAAAAAAACTGTTGGGTAGACTTCATAGCCTAGAAATATTGAAATGTTTAAGTACAATTATTTTACTGTTTGCTACCAACATTTGCTGCCGCTGATTAAGCTCTAGCGTGGTCTCAGTTGTGAGGGTCAACCTGAAACTGGGTGAGCAGCTGTTGCCACATGAGCAGTTTGTCCTTTCACTAAATTGCATGCCAGAGTACACAAAAGTCTCCACTGTTCCTAAGTACTTATTTAACCATGTATAATGCAGCTAATACAGAAAAGGTATCACTTAAGTATTTTTTTTTCCATTAGTAAGGCGTTCCAGTCAATAGTTAGCTATTTATTAAAGAGATGGCTCATTCCTGGGGACCTGAGATAAGTTCCTAGCACACACATACGCACAGACACACACATCAGAATCTTTAAAACCAAACAAAAACCCAGTTATTAGTAGTTAAGTTACAGGACAGTCACCTGTTATTCTTGTTTGCAAGGATTGGCTCTATGATATCTGACCTCCCCAAGAGCTTCTGCCTTCTCTGTCTTCAAATTAAGGAGTTTGACCAGATAAACCCTCAGTCTCCTGTGGTTTCAGTACCCTCTCTGTGAGCTCCTGTGAGGAGAATCATTGTTTCCTTCGGTAGAGATCAGGGACAGGTACTGAGGCAGAGGTCTATTCAAAAGTTTCCCAGCAGGCCAGTTGGATGACGCTGTGGGTAAAGTGCCTGCAACCCAGTACTGATCTGAGCTCAATTCCCATGACAAGAAAAGTGGGAAGAGAGAACTAACTCCGACAAGTCATCCTCTGCCCTCCACACGCACACCATGTCATGCACAGCTGCACACATATGCACTACAAGTAAATGAGTAAGCGTAATTTAAAAACCTTCAAAACACTGTTCTTCATTTCCTCCATAGTATTTGCCTGCTGCCATTACTGTTAGAGAGGTCAATAAACGTGAACTGTATTGAGCAGTAGTGCTGAATAGAAACAGAACAGCGGCACTAGAGCGGAGACAGATGTTTGTGACCAGTGTTCACATCACTAAAACCAACCTGCCCACCCGTACATTATTTTTAAGAGTACATTTTCAGTAAAATGGTAGTACCACCAGTACTTGTGGCCATTATTTCGCAAGGATGTCTAGTGACCTAATGCTGAGAAGACACAGGTTTTGTGAATTTCTCATGAAGGAAATTGACTATGTGCTGTCCTCTTGAGAACTTTGTGTATAGCAGGTCAGGACTTTTCTCCACTGTTCTCTTTCTTATAATCTCAAATTTTAGGTCACCAACACGTGTCCACATGATTCAAATTAGAGCATTCTTTCCACCAAAGTGACTAATATTTCACACAAGGGATCTTGCCCTGCTGACTTTGGAAAGGTTCTCAAGTCCACCATTCCAGACCCCAGCTCTCCCATGTTCTTTTACAGCTTGAAGACTTAAGCTGTAGACCTTAAATATTGATTTTTAGGCAGTTTTGACCAAGAAATGGTTGATACGGAATGTTCTAGAGTCAAGAGTCACCTCCTCTAGAAAGCGCAAGGCTAGATTTCTTGTCAAGGTGCCACGTGCAGCTGTGTTGTTCCAGCGAGTGTCTATTCTGGGGCAGTGAGGCATAACTTAGCAGAGGTGCATGATGGAACCTGCAGAGAGCTCCTTCAGTGGTGACTGCAAGAGGCCTGCTTGCCCTACCGAGCTGATCTTTCCTCTCCAAGCAAAGCTGCCACCTCTATGTTGAGCTGTTCCTTCTATTTATGTTCGTTGCTCTTCGAGTCAGTCAGAGATAATTTATGTATATGTCCTCAAAGGGAGATGTGAGGACAGCTTATGACTTCACATATGCTCAGTCAGTGCTTCCTTGTTTTCCATCTCTAGATCGCTCATGATGGGGCGATCTAGAAACAACCAGCTTGATTGCATTTTAACAGGCGCTTTATATGAAAAGAGGGCTGGGCCATATGTTAAACATGCGGTTCTTTCAAGTCCAACTCATGCAGTCAAAGAGAGAAACTGAAGTTGTCCCGTCTGTGCACTTGAGGAAGCAGACAGAAGCCCTGTTAGCACAGGGAGGTTGTGCCTGTCTCCTGCCCACTCGTGGGTACTTTACTTAGTCCTCTCACCTTCCTCTCAGATATTGCTGGCTGTTTTCTTCCCTGCATTGCTCTAGGCCTGCTGAGGATGCTTTCCCAAGCCCGGCTGGATCAGTTCTTAGGTATCCGTCTACTCTGCACATTGCCCATCTTTAATCCCTGAAACCTGATTCCCATAAGGAACGCCTGGAATATAGTGAGAAACTTCGTGTGTATGGGCTCTATTTTTGTCTAGCTATTTTTAGTTCTAGCCTTATAGGGTATTTATGGCCAAATTTTAGCAATCCTTGTTGCCTTGTGTGTCTTCCACATATTTTCTAGCTCAGTCATACTTGAACCCTGCATGTGAAGCAAAAATCATTTAATTGCTAGAACAACAGTACGAGGCCAGGCTGCCTTTGTGTTGTGTGAGCGGTGCCAAGCATTCAGCTGTAAATGCTAACTTTATATTCCACATTTAGCTGCAAATAAAAAGAAAGAGGAGACTGGCATTTGCATTTTATGTAGAAATGTCTATGTTTGTGTTAAATCAAGGATTTTATATCCTGTTTAAGGGGTATTTGCAATAAAGGAGCGAGCAGCCAAAAACCTGGTTCATGCTGTAATTAGGAAGAATCTCCGTGACTAACCTGTGCTGGCTTTCTGAGAAACAAGTGGAACAAGTTTGAGGTGACCAGAACAACTCTGAATCTGCTACAGAACTGCTGGAAATTGATCTAGGATCTCTCTTAGTTTTAAAGTATCTGTCCTATATGTAGCTTCCCCTGATTTCTTATGGTCAACTACATTTTTCTGGTAATGCAGGAAACACTACACAAAATAGTGATATCCACTGTACATTTGGATTTCTGAGTTGTTGATTTTATTTCTGTTCTTTGCAAATATTACATGCCAACTGATATCTCTAGAAATTAATAATAATACTGCACGCTGAAATTGAATTTAGGCATGGTTTGGCTACCTAGTAACATTAATCTACCCCAGAGACAGGAGGCGTTACTTTTATCATTCATGAATGAAGACTATTAATGTGATTTTAGAAAGTAATTGGGTCTACGACATCATCACAAGAGTGAGAAGGTCATACTGCCCCTCCCTGCTTCTCTTTAACCTACCACTCTGATCTCTTGTGTTTGTAAACCCGAGGCCAGAAACTAATGAATGATGCTGTTTACTCAGCAATAAAATTTAAAAAATAAATCTGAACCATGCTGGAAAATGTAAGTTTCTGGCTTTTCTTACACAAATAACATCAGGTAACGCTTTATCTGCAGGCAGAACAAGAGTGCAGTGGGATAGTAGGCCAGAGCTAGTGGCCTCTGTGACCTGTCCCCGTGCCACGCATACTGACTATAGGAGTGTTCTTACACTCCTTTCTGCGTCTCTGAGTACCCCTGAGTCCCATGCTGAACCGTGTAGACAGCTCCATGGGATTTATCCCCTCTATCCATCACAGTGTGATGGACTGATTCTTACATGAAAACATTCTTGAAGCTATACCCTGCTTTTGAAGTAAGCTTTTAAATCTTTATTTGGAATTGTGAAACTGAGGCAGAGAGAACATCATTAGGCAGAGCCAACACCAGCCATGGAGCTGTCTTTGATAGCCCATTTCATGTGCACTGCACTCCAGAAGGCTGTACAGTGTTCTTGTCTGTGTTCACAGCTAGGTTAAGAAGCTAACTAAATGCCAGCATTTGCCTTTCCAGTTTGTATAATCTTTTCTTCTTTGCATTGCATTAAACTTGATATGTCTGTTGTTTTAAATTTACTTTAGGAAGTTTGTTTGCTGTTAAAAGAAACCATTGATTCCAGAGTTAAGGAGTACGTGGGCATTTATAAACAGCACAGGCCATCAAATGCAGAATTCACAAGATCCAGTCCCTTGTCCTTAAAAGGTAGGCAACAAGCTCTGAGATTTTGGACAAAGAAAATAAAATTTCTGCTTTGTAGAGGTTGCAATTATATTTGACTCTGTTGTGTTAGCATAGTGATACATTGAAAAAATATGCTGTAAAGAAGATACTGTGTTTGAGTAACAAAAATTCACCAAAAAGCCTTAAAGGGCTTTTAATGGAAGGCAAAAATATATAAAAATAGCAAATAAAACATTCTTAAGGAAACTGTAAAATTTTAAAGGTCTGGGTTTTTTTTTTTTTGACAAATAATCTTACAAATGGATTTACATTAATACTGACATAAGTTGATTCAGTGTCTTATGGTTTTAAAAATGTTTTTCCATATGTCCCTCTATTTCAGATGTTCTCAAACAGGAGCAGTGTTATTCCCAGGGGGCATTTGAAAATGTGTGCAGAGCGTTTTGGTTGCCATTACTGGCAAGGGGTGGGATGCTGGCCCATTGTTGGTAGAGACCAGGGATGACATTCCATTCACAGAACTCAGAGCAACCCCTTCATAGCAGGCTACTAGCTTCCAAACCTAAAGGGCACCATCTCTGAGATTCTATCTGTGATAGCGCAGGTGAGGAAACAAGAGTCTGTAGGTTCAGTGGCTCGATCAAGTACAGGGTCGTCTCAGGACAGAGACTGGGGCTTATTTAGTGCCCTCCCCTCATCTGTCCCCAGTGCTTAGCTTGGTGGCTATGGTAGAGATGTAGTGGCATACTGAGTGAGAACTCTCGGAAGGGATGAGTGGCAGAGCTCAAATCCAGACTTAGCTCCTGTGGCCTCCACCCCAAGTTTTTTCTGTTTTCTCAGTCTTCTGCTCTGATTTTCTGTTTTGTTTTCATTGTTTGTTTCTCACTTAAAATCAGCATTTCATAGAAGCCTGTGGTACAGATACAGTGAGAACATGGTAATTATCAGACTACAATGGGTAGACTATTGTGAACCCCATTATGCTAACAGCACACCTGTTTAAGAAAAATACTGAATTACGTATTTCTCTGAACCTTTCTTGATCCAGAGTACTCACCTCTTATAGATGATAAATAAACAAGTAGTTTTTGTCACCCAAAGTGAAAGTCTTAAGAAAATGATTTTCAAACCAAACAATGTTGCTTCTCAGTGACTACTAACCTATGGGTCTCGACCTCACGGGGGTTCTGTATCAGATATTTAAATTATAATTTGCAAGCCGGGCGATGGTGGCACACGCCTTTAATCCCAGCACTCGGGAGGCAGAGGCAGGCGGATCTCTGTGAGTTCGAGGCCAGCCTGGTCTACAGAGCTAGTTTCAGGACAGGCTCCAAAGCCACAGAGAAACCCTGTCTCGAAAAAAACAAAAAAAAAAATTATAATTTGCAACAGCAAAATTACAGCTATGAAGTAGCAACAAAACGTTTTATTTGGGGGGTCATTGCCATATAAGGAACTGTATTGAAGAAATAGGAAGATTGAGAACCACAGCTTTAGATGATGCTCTCTGATTTGTCACCCAGTGTTGTTAAGAATTTTAAGTAGACCTGGCCAATCTCACATTTTATCTGGTGTAACAGGAAAAAGAATGGAGCCAGATTCTAAGACTCCTATCTCTGTCACAGCTGTTACAGTAGGTGGTTTGATCAGAATTCAAGCCAACCTTTCCATTCCCATCCCAGTCCTGACTGCTGAGGGAAGAGACTAAATACTCAGTACCCAGATTCTCTCACAGACAGTTCTGGTCCCAATATGGCAAGAAAATGTCCTTGGGTTTGTGCAAGGAAAAGGTTTATTGATTTTTTTTAAAAGAGAAAGTGATCTTATTGTGCATACAATTTTGTAACCTTTTCATTGTATCACCATTAAAAACTGTTGTTGTAAAATGCAGATAAAGCTTACTGTTCAAAAACTTTCAAGTGTACACTTTTGGCAGAATAAATATGCACATATTTTTGTACAGTTATCACTTTTACCAATCTCCAGAAGTTTTTCATTGTCTAGTCTGGAACTCTGCATGCATGACTAATGTGTCCTCGTCCTCTTGCCCGAGCCCCTGGTCATGGAGGTCTCACTTTCTGACACTCTTGTTCTTTCTACGTCAGTGTCTCGTGAGTGAAGCCATATAATGTCTGTCATTTTATTCTCTGTGTTATTTCCCTTACAAGTTACATTTTCATCATTCTTACAGCTGCATTTATCACAATTTCACATTTCTTATCATCTTCAGTACCTGTTCATTCATCTACTGACAAAGTGTTCCCTTGTTTTGGCTGTTAAGAGCATTGTTGTTGCAAACACTCATATACAAATTATCTTTTTAAGCTTTTTGGCTCTTTTGATTATAAATTTGGAAATTTTTGGATCACAGGGTGGTGCAGGACAATTGTCTATATTCTATCAATTGTGTTTTAAATAAATGCTGATTGGCCAGTAGCCAGGCAGGAAGTATAGGCAGGTCAATGAGAACAGGAGAATTCTGGGAAGAAGGAAGCCCATTCCTCCCCAGTCCTGTTCCAACCACAGAAGAAGGAAGATGTGATTGTTCTTCTGAAAAAGGTACCAAGCCATTTGGCTAACATAGATAAGAATAATGGATTAATATAAGTTATAAGAGTTAATAAGAAGCCTGAACTAATGGGCCAATCAGTTTATCATTAATATAGACCTCTGTGTGATTTCTTTGGGGCTAAACGGCTGTGGGACCTGGTGGGAGGACAGAAACCAGGCAGGACAGAAACCCAGACAACAGTGGGCTAATTATTTTGATTTTGTTTCTGAGGTTAACATACTGTTTGCCACCATGACTGCATCGTTTTTACATCCTCACCAGCATGAGGGTTCCATTTCCCTACATCTTTGCCAACCCTTATTCCTAATATTTTGATAATAGCCATCTTAATATATGTAAAGCAATCTCTAACTCTGGTTTGTTTTGTTGTTTTTGTTGTGTCAGCTCCCTCATGATTAGTGACACTGGCCATCTTCTTATTTATTCATTGGTTATTCATATGTCTTCTATGAAGAAATGTCTATATGCCTAGTCCATTTTTAACTGGGCTTTTTTTTGGGGGGGGGGAGGTTGTTGTTGGAAGGCTTTGTATATTATGCATATTAATTCCTTATTAAATATGTAATTGGTAAATATTTTTGCAAATTTTCTGGTTTGTCTTTTCCCTCTCTTGATGATTTACCCTGGTGCATAGATGGTTTTGAATGTGATAAAGCCGGAATGCCACTTTCTTCCTTTGTTGCTGGCCCTGTGATGCTATGCCTATGGAAGTCTTCTTCAAGTCCTGTCTTGTGAAACTTTTCCTCTCAAAGCAGAAGTTCGACGAAATTTTAAAAATTAGCCATTTTATTCAGGAACCTGACCCCATGTGAGTTACTTTTTATATGTAAATTAAAGTTAAAACCCACTTTCATGTGGATGTCTAGTTCTCTTAGTATCATTTGTTAAAAGACTACTCTCCACACTGAATGGGTTCGGTAATCTTGTCACTAATCATTTGAGCGTTGATGCCGGTTTACTTCTGAGCTTTCTCTTCTGCTTCAGTTGTTTGTGTCTGCCACTGGTGCCAGTGCTGCGGCCTCTTGATATACTATAGCTTTGTGGTAAGTTTTGAAATCAGAAAGCTTAAGTCTTGTAATTTGTTACTCTTTTTCAAGATTGTTTTGACTTGTTCCAGGTCCACATTGCTATTTTGATGACTGCAAAGTATTCTATTAAACGTCAGTGCTCTTAATTTATTGGTAGAATTAGATTGCATCTGATACTGTTCTAAAGAAGAGTACAGTTAACATTCTAGTAATACACATGCTTGTAACTTCAGAGTTGGATTTCATGTTTATAGTTTTGTGGACTTATGAGACAGAGAGAGAGAGAGAGAGAGAGAGAGAGAGAGAGAGAGAGAGAGAGAGAGAAAGTGAGAGTGTTACTGGGGCCACATAGCCTCTGAAAGTGTTCTACTAGCTATATGAGCTACAGCTTTTTCTTTTCCTTTTCCTTTTTTTTTTTTTCTTTCTGAGCAGGATTACCTGAGTTGTTCAGAGTCCAGGCTAGCCCCAAACTTGATATCCTTGTTTCAGCCTCCCAAATACTAGAATTACAGGCATGCACCACACCCAGCCTAGAAGAGCTCTTTAAAGATAGTGATGGATGTGTGTTTAAGTATGTTGAGTGTATGTCTGTGTATACAAGTGTGTGCAAACATGCATGTGGAAGCACAAGGCTGATGTCAGGAATTATCACGGTCTACTCTTCTGCCCCATCCTTTGTGGCCAGTTTTCTTAGTTGAACCCAGAACTCATTGGTATGACTGCTCTTGCTCTAGGGATCCCCTATCCTCATCTTCCCAGGCAGGAATTCTAGGGAGGCAGTTGTGCCCACTGACATTTACATGGGCTGTGGGATCAGAATCTTTGTGCCATGCTTGTGCAGGAAGTGCTTTAATCCCCAAGCCATCTCCTCCCAGTCCCCTGCAAATGACTTCTCTGTTATCATCTGCTCTTGACTTTCTCTAGTTGCACAACAACAAACCAGGTCCTCTGTGCTTTGTGTAGCCCCTGGTGACCATTAGTGGTATAATACTGCATTTAGTGAGATGATAGTATAACCAGAGGAAACCAGGATGGTGCTAATAGAATATTTCATTCACTCTTTGAAAGTGAGCTTTATAGGAAAGCCCCATGCTTTGTCTCTTCTCTCATTCTAACAGCCTTTGAGCGTATCTGTTGAGGGTCACACCATGGCCAGTGTCTTTCCCTGTAGCCACCAGCCCGTCTGGATTCCCACTTCACCTGGACAGCTGTAGCAGGAACCCCTCTGGCTTCCTTCCATATGGTCAGTGTGCCACCTTCTGTCCATACTGTAGTCAGGCCATCCCTTAAAATCTCATGTCTGCTCTTGTGAAGATCTGTAGAAACCCATTCGGGATATTCTCGGGGTCTCAAAGATAAAAGCCAAGCCCCCGGGGGTCTTGCGCGTTTGTTTTCCTTCTTCTTTAAGTGCCTTTAATTCT